CCCCAAAACCCCAAAACCCCAAAACCCCAAAACCCCTCTAAAAATTATCCAAATTGTATAATAAATTTAAATATGAGCGAAGAAGTTGCCAAGACTGTGTTCATAGGAGGGATCAACAGGGATGTGAAAGATGATGACCTCAGAAATAACTTCAAGGAGTTTGGAAGGATCCTAAATGTTAAGTTAAAGGGAGATTATGCTTTTATTACTTATGATGATGTCCATCATGCTGATAGGGCTGTAAAGGCCATGGATTCTGCGAAGATTTGTGGGAGGAAGATTACTGTTCAGAAGTCTTATGGTGGCAGAAAGGAAAGAGACAAGGGACCAGTGGGGCAAGACGTATGCTTCAATTGTGGTTCAAAGGGACACTGGTAAGTAAACTCGCTGACATTTTCTAAACTTCGGGGAAGATACTTACCTCTTTTATTGATTTCTTGCTGTTTACTTTGATATACACTAAAAACTAGAAGTGCTTTTTCTGAAGTTCATCACACTCCATATTCACTTCCTCGAAGGGTGTTCTACTATTCTATTACTTGAGAAGTTGCTTAGTTGCAGATCTTTCATACTGGAGTGCTTTCGAATCTTTCCTTGCTTTTCTTTGACTGAATCCGAGTGCATAACTTCGACGACTTACTTCTCGCTGGAGATACTGTCTGGAAGCTAAACTACTTACTACAGGGCTAATGAGTGTAACAATGGCGACTGGAGTAACAAGTGCTACAACTGCGGAGAGTCTGGCCATCTGAAGAAGGACTGCACTAAATCTCCTAAACCTCCTAGAAGGGATAGAAGACAAGGATACGGACGCTCTGGAAGTCGTGGCTCAAGAGATAGAAGAGACCGCAGAAGAAACTATGGTGACAGAAGAGATGACAGGAGAGACGACAGAAGAGATGATAGAAGAGATGATAGAAGAGATGATAGGAGAGATGACTATTCCAGGTCTAACAGAGACAGAAGAGATCGTGGAAACTACAGAAGAGACCGTGACTATGAGAGGAGAGATGATAGAGACTACAGGAGAGAAGACAAAGATTATAGAAGAGACGATAGAGATAATAGAGACAATAGAAGAGACAATAAAAGAGATGGTAATAGTAGTTCTACTGTGACTTTGGGTAGAAGTTTAGCCAGGGTGAATGAGTGGGTTAGCTCGGGGGAATGGAGTTGGGGATTGAGGTTGGGAGGTGGAGGTTTGGGATAAGGAGGGGTTAAGGTGTGAAAGGGACTGGGAAATTAAGATTTTATAGAGTTTGGAAATGCGAGTAGGAGAGATGATGGATATGGTAGGGATAATAGAAGGAATTCTCAAAGAGATAGCAGAAAAGATTCACCGAGAGATAACAGAAGAAGCTCTCCTAGAGATAATAGAAGAGACTCTCTGAGAGACAATAGAAGAGACTCACCAAAAGGTAGAAGAGACTCGCCAATAGACTTGCCAAGAGACTCGCCAATTAACTCCCCAAGAGACTCTCCAATATACTCCCCAAGAAAATCTCCAAGGAACTCTCCAATAAACTCTCCAAGAAACTCTCCAAGATACTCTCCAAGAGACTCTCCAAGAAACTCTCCAAGAGACTCTCCAAGAGACTCACCAAGAGATTCATTAAGAGATAGGAGAGAGTCTCCAAGAGACAGAAGAAGCTCCCCTCAGGATAAAAGAGATTCTCCTATCGAAAGAAAAGATGACTCAAGAGATAGAGGAAGAGTCGATAGTAGAGATAGAAGAGATCAAAGCAGAGATAAAAGAGATGCTAGTATGGACAACAAAAGAAGCATTAGCCCAAACAACAGAAGAGAATACTCAAGAGAAAAAGGCTCAAGAGACAACAGAACACCTCCAAGAAACAGCCCTAGAAGATCAAAATCCCCTCAAAATAACTCTCCTTCTCAAAAAGACTTAAGTCACAAAAGTGATAGCCAAGAGCGTAACTTTGACAGCAAGCGTGATTCCTTCCGTGAAGAAGAAAAGCACCAAGCTACTCCTGAAAAAGGTTCTAATTCCTACAGAGACAATCGCTCCAGGAGAAGCCCTCGCAGAAGAGACTTCAGAGACACTAGACCTAGAAGAAGGAATGACTCTCGTGACAAAAGAGATAACAATAGAGATGATAGAAGACAAGGCTATAGAACCAACAGACAGGATTCAAGAGATGACAGAAGAAGAAATGATAATTACAGGGATAATAGAAGAGATGACAGGAGGAACGATAGAAGAGATAATAGAAGGGATAATAGGAGAGATAATAGAAGAGAGGACTCTAGAGATAGAAGACAGGAACCCAAAGATAATAAAGAAGGCTATAGACCAAGAAGAGAGGATTCTAGAGGAAGGAAAGATGACCCAAAAGATATAAGAAATTATTCAAGAGATAAAAGAGAGGATTTGAAGGAGAGAAAGAATGATTCCAGAGATAATAGAAACGATTCAAGAGGCAGAAGAAATGACTCGAGAGACAGAAGGAATAATTCTAAAGATAGAAGAGATGAATCAAAAGATAAAAGTAACTATTCCAAAGAAAGAAGCAATGAAAAGAATAGAAATGAAGACAAAAATGAAACTAAGAGAGATTCTAGAGATAAATATGAAGAAAGGAAAGATAAAAGACAAGATTCAAGAGATAGAAGTGACAGTCTCGAAGATATAAAGCCAAACAGTCCAAAAAGACAAGAGAGAAGATCTCCTTCTCCAAAACCCCAAGGTAACCCTCCGATTCCTTTCCTCAAAACTCCACTAAACCCTTACATCTAACCTCCCTCTAGACCACGGAAGCATCCACTCCGATAAAATGTCAATCGAAAGGAAAGACAGTGATATCTCAGTCTAATCTTTTACTTAATTACTCAAAAAGCTTCAAAGCATCCAATTATTCTGGTTTAATTTTTGTGGCTAATTTCAGGCTAAAAGCATTTTGGCTTAATTTCAATATTTTTTAATAAATTGGGGTTTTGGGGTTTTGGGGTTTTGGGGTTTTGGGGTTTTGGGGTTTTGGGG